TCACTCTGATGGCGTTCGTGGACTTTGAACCCTGCCAGGCCTCATGCTGAAGCTGCGGCCCGCAGTCGGCTAACCCTTCAGTCGATAGCGCGCAACTTTTGCCGGCAAACCTTCAAGGAAGACTAAGAACAGTGTGTTCTTGTGCTGATCCTCTCCGTCCCGAACTAATGTCCATTAACGATATGCAACCTTTATCCTGCTGAGGTGTTAACTCAGTTTGCAACTGTCATGTATTCCGTTTGTATCGTACCTTCGAAGCCAGGTTTTTTTACTTGAGACAAACTCCCTATGCCCAGTATTGACAAAACACAGAATGGAAATAAAACCAACACTGGCTGCAAAAGAGGGAGTTTGTTTTAGGTTTTTCCTGTCTTCGAGGTTTTGGAAGGCGCCCAAGAGGTGCTCTACCAACTGTTTAAAATTGCCTGTAAACTGGCACAATAAACATATATATGTGTTTTTTCTGTCAATTCAACGAAATCAGCTGTCTGAAGAACACAGTCTACTCCCTGATGAGTTTGAATACCGTAATCCTTTGTATTGCCTATAATAGAGAGGAAACATGTTGAACCTTTCTAGTTGATCTTCAAATGGTATAAATCCTTAGCCGCTGACAAATTTGGACATCTTTCGTTGAACTTTCTCCAGCGCTGCGTAATCTTGCTTCATCCAGGGGTGCCAGGCCTGTACGCAAAATCCTGGTATCGGCCAAACAAATGTTTCAAGCACTCGTAGCAAAAGCTGCGCATCAAAACAGAGGATCTTCTGATCGCTCCTAAGGATGCTCATAGCCTTCTTTGCAGTTTAAGCATAGAGAGCTGAAGGTTTTTGGGTGGACGTCATAAATAGACCTAGATTCCTTAGTTCGTCCACTGGCCCAATTTGGTGACCACCGATGAAGTATTCATACTGAAATGGACCACCTTTCTGCGACTAGACCGTAGGCGGATGACTCGGTATTTATTGAAATTTAGCAGCAGTAGCCACTTATCACACCACTTTTGCAAGCGATCAGGACATTTCGTAAGCTCTACCCATCCTCCAAGTTTTCGAGTGAATCCCAAATCTTCAGATCGTCTGTAAACGTTACTCTCTTACCGGTAAGGAGGATTTTTGTTTTCTCCAGTTCATAAAAGTCAGAGTGCCGGAATACTAATCTGAGAACCTATCTATACTCGTCGGAAGGAGTTTTAATATCTTCATTGACGTTTCGAAGAGCTGTGGTCGTTCCCATTTGTGAAAGCCCAAACCGTCATTTTTGATCAGTTATTATAATGTGGAGCCGCACTTGGCAAGGTGCCGATCGGTTTTGTTCTCGTTCGCTATCCTCTCCTTGGTATAAATGTTGACAACAATTGGCGTTGCGCTTCATTTCCACGATAGAGAATGATGGTTATACAGTTTTCTCTTCGGGTAAGTCTGCCACGGGGCCGTCTTCGCTTGCGTTTATTAAGTTCGGGTGACATAAACCTAACTCTTATTTACATAATTGCGCATGCATTTATAGGCTGGTCGATATTAACAGTTTATACCGCAATAAGGAGAGCCGGCCCAGCTCTCCGAAACGTCGGCAAAGACAATAAAGGTCGTTTCGAAGAGCATGAATATGTGCTCAGACTATTTTTCTGCTTGAAATTTTAGACCGTCGTAATCTGAGACCGGTTGACCATTCTCGCCGAGATCTGCTTTACTTATTCCTCTGGCACACACAGTTAGATATAGCCACTTTTTTCTGTAAACGCTCCATCCGTCTGGAATAAGCTATCCTAATTTTAAAAATCCAGCGAAATCATCTTTTGTTTAAGAGAGCAGTCCCCCGTTTTCTACATTCAGAACACATTTAATAAATTTTTGGTGTGGACTCCGTGGAATCACTCTTCCGTTCTAAGGGCGTTCGCGACTTTGAATCCTGTGTCCGACTTCATGCTGAGGCGATGGTCCTGACTCTGTAGTTCCCAATCGGTTCATTCTTCGGTCGACAACGGACAAACATTCGCCCGCGCACTTTTACCCGATGCGGGATACCTGATCCATAATACAGAAAGGAGACTGACCACATCGTACACCTTTATCAACCTTTCTCTGTCCCGAAATACAGTAATCAAAGAAGGTGCAGTTTTTTCTCCTGAGAAAATTTAGAAAAAAATATCAGGAGATGTTTATCAATCCCAAATTCCCTGACCAGTCGAACGAATTCTTCGGATACACCAGCAATATAAGGTATTGCTCCTGACGTTTCGGATTCCATCGGGACTCCTTAGGCAATAGTAGAACAGTCTGAGTGATGCGCAAATAAGGGTTATACATGCACAGATTGCACGGTATTTAAAATTAATAGTGGCCCCCGCATGCGTACTATAATTGTCAGTTCTGTTAGCCACCACTTGAGGTCTTAATTGGTGCGGTGATGGCTCATTAATTGCCACTGTTCTACTATTACTTATGATTATGAATTCCCGAGGGAATCCGAAAAATCAGGAAAATAAACTTGTTGTTCCAGTGATCGCTTCCTCTTCTTCTGAACTGCTTCCTGGAGCTCGCATATTCAATTCTAAAATCATGAACTGAATGGGTCAGTGGTCATTCAGACCTTATTTGAACGTTACTGATTTTGGTTATGGTATGAAAGCAATAAAAATATTTCATAAATAGGGAACACCAAAACAAGACATGTAGTACATTCCTGCACATTTTCTTCAAATCTCTGTCGGAGGCTGAAATTGATGACCCTGAATTAGCCATTGGCCTGTTCAAGGTCTCACTTCCCTACTGAATGCTGTGCATGCGTGATGGCCGTGAACGTAGGGCCTAGAGCCATTCACTTGGTTGTAGATTCTGTAGCCTTTATAGAACGCGCTGATTTAAAGGTATATTTTCTTTCTTAGTTTATTTTTTCTAGACCTATGGTACTACGATCCACACGGTCGCTTCTGTTATAGCTGAACTCAGAGACAAGCGAACGCGAGAATACGTCGCTGCGCTGCCATTCCCAATTTCAGTTGAAGTTCCCCAGCCAGAATCCGTGAAGTGGGGTAAAAATGTTTGATTTCTTATTTTTGGGTTCAGCCCGCGAGGTTTCAAAAAGAACAGGAGATTTCTTTGTCTTGTCAAAGCCGGACTTGGATGTAATAGCCCTCTCTTATGAACTGTTCAAGCAGGAGACGGAGACAGAACCTATTTTAAAGGAGGTCCTGCTTTCTGATTATTTGACTTAATTCTACTGTAGGTCAGAAAATTCCAACTCAATGGACAAGTTTCATACACACCAAAGCCACCAG